TTATTAGATATTATATATGTAATAATATTATTATTATTATTTTTTTTTTTATTATTATTATTATTAAATGCACTCGTGATGCATTGTGTATGAAAAGTCGACAAATACAACAAAAAACAGTCTCTTTCATTCTTAAAGTGTGATATAATATAGATAAACATACAAGTTATTATATTATTATTATACACTTTTATATTTTTTAGGTGGGATTAATATGTGGTTCGGGTCTGGGTGAGACCCTACACAAAACGTTCAATTGTAGCAGCATAACAAGTCGCGAGAATGCAGAGAACGACTTCGGATATCCGTCCAGTGATCTATACTATGGATGCATTGATGGAGTAAACATAGTGCTACTGGCTAGGTAGAATTCCTTATAAACCCCTTCGTTTTTGCATCTCTTTTTAAATTATGCAATCTAGACTGGCACATTAATATACAGAGTGTTGAAAAAAATGGTACCAAATTTTAGAAGTATGTAGTACTTGTGAAAACAAACCGAAAAGTCATAAACATTACTCTAAAAACCATTTATTATGTGAGTTATAAAGCATTTTCTACAGTAGATGTTCGATGTTCCTTCCGTTCATTTCGACACACAATTCGGCACACTTTCTCATTGAAGATCAAACATGTTCAAAAATTCCAGGTTTATTTCGTATTGACTTGAGTTTTCTGTATTACGATTTTTCGGTTTGTTTTCACGAGTATTACATACCCCTAAAATTTGGTACTACCTCTTATCATCACCCTGTATATTTTGCTTTATCCTTCTGCTATAAATTTTTTCATGTAAAAGCCGTTTTACTTTTTCTGTTTTACAACGTTTATTTTATGTCTTGATCATTAATGAAAATATTTTCCTCTCTTGACGCAGACATGGTGCAGGGCATGTATTTAGCCCTACCGGAGTTAATTATCGTGCTAATATAGAAGCGTTACGGCTTGCTGGATGTACCCACATATTGGCGTCTACTGCGTGTGGATCATTGACGGAATCTATCAGCAGGGGACAATTAGTTGTGCCTGATAGCTTCATAGATAAAACTAATTCCAGAAAGGGCACGTTCTATGACGGAACATCTGCCAAGTACAGCGGTAGGTATATCATGTATATCTTTTTACAAGTACAATCTTTAAAGTATGTTGCCTGTAAAATTACAGGAGTATGCCACATGCCGATGGAGCCTGCGTTCGATCCGCGAACGTCGGAGATCTTGTTGCAAGCGGCAAAAAAATTGGGATACAACATAAAAAAGGGTGGAACAGTAGTAACTATCGAAGGACCGCGCTTTTCCTCCAAAGCGGAGAGTAACGCTCTGCGTCTTTGGGGTGGACATTTGGTCAACATGACTATATGCCCGGAGGTCTAAATAATAAATCTATACGTAAACTTGTACGTCTTAACAATACTATTTATATAATGTTTACATTTTTTAAATCAGGTATTTCTAGCAAAAGAAGCCGGTCTTTTATACGCAGCTGTAGCAATGGCGACTGATTATGATTGCTGGAAAGAAAGCGAGGACAATGTTCATGCAGCCGACGTATTAGTTGTGTTCAGGCAAAATGTTGATAAAATAACGAATGTGTTACTGGAGGCAGTGAAGATTATTGGCTGTGGAGATTGGGAGCAGGATATTCTTAAATTGAACGTAATGTTTATTATTGTATATCATTTGTATACCTATAATATTATACATAATACTGAAGACATATATTTTTCTAAATACATGCTAACAAACAGAAATAATTTTCAGGACTTAATTGAGAGCAGCAATGTGACTGCAAAGAAATAAAGCTTCTACTTGCAAAGCAGAATGAAAAAAACGCCTATATATACATACATATACATAATCATAAATACATAATATTATCAAAGCTGTGTAAGATATATAAGAGTTTATTGAAGAGTTCTATACATTCCACGGGCGGAAATTTTTGTACAGAAGCTATTATACGAAGAATCAATTTATTTTATGATGACATTTTACGACATAATCACAAATAAGAGCTTGTGTTAAATTATTACATAAAATTGCGTTATATACACTGTTTTGCATCTTACCTTCTCCCCCTCCTCTAAAACGTTTTATCGAAATATTATCTTGTTGCATTATAATTTTATTACATTGATAATTCAAGCACAGAGTCGCAGCTCTGTTTAATCCAATTACACACGTGTATGTACATCACAATCGCAAGAAATCAGGAGTGAGAAAAGGAATTGGATTGGTATTCCACTATATTCAAGGATCTAGTAATGAACGTATAAACAAAAGATATTGACAATTAAACTTAAATATTTATTATCTACAATTATATTTACCTATACAATTCGCAAAAGTCAATTGACTGCAATGTATAATCATTTCTTTAAACGTATCTACATAATTTAACTGCCAATATGTATATGTATCCTTTCTTTTTTATTACATGCCACATCTTGCTTCTTTGTGTAGGCTTAAGGAGCAGACAACATTTAATCAGTATTGTCATCGATTTCCGCTGGTATGATTTCGCTTGATTAAAACATTGTACATTGGTCTGCATTTTACAATGATCTTGCAACTCAAAATATAATAATATGAAACCATGAACGCTATACATGGATTTTTCTTATGTACAAGCAATTTACATTATAATCAGTGTGAGAAACTAAACTTGTTTGAACATGAAATTTCTTCAGAAAATACATTTTTATGGTATATATTTATATAATTGGTATATATATATATATATATATATATATATATATTATATATTCACCAAAGAGACTTATATATTGTGCAGTTTGTAACGGTGCCAACTCAAAAATAGCTAAATTTAATTTACAAATGAAACAATTGATAAAAAAATATAGTCTACAAGTCTACATATTTGAATAATCAGAAATATGAATTTATGCTTAATAATATAAAAAAAATCGATATTATTGTTTTCTCCATCTATTGGGAGTCGAGTTTTACGAAATAAAAAAAATTTTTAAAACGTTTTTATTAATTATCTTTTCGATAAATTCGCTGTTAGCATAAGATACCTTCAATCTAATAAAATATTTAGACGCTAAACAATGATTATAATATGTTTCAATATAGTATATGTTTCAATTATTAAAAATGGTTCATAATATATTAAAATTTTTAGACTCATGATAATACGACTTTTCCATACAGACAATACATAATGTAAACTGCACATATTACGCGCGTGTGAAACTTACTTTTATAGTCCATAAATTTGTTTAAATTTAAAACAATAAAATACTATAAGAATACATGACATAAAACTCTCGTCTTAGTATTCAACAATAAGATATTCCATTTTTTCTGTACTGTGGTTAACAATTCACATTTTTTGTTAAATATTCACATGACACAGTGTGAATATTCTTTATAAGATGTAACAAGGTGCATATATATATTTTTTTTTCACAAGTCTTGATCTCTTACACATTAATGAAAAGATCAGCACTTTAACTCTGTATGGACAGAGATTAACAACAGATTAACGGGTACATAATTAATCATATTGTGGCAATTCTACTTAGAAACGGTATGCATTTTTATGTCGCATTAGCGTGTAAAATATGTCGCGCTGTTTCCAAGTATCGAGAAGTAACAAAGAATCAAAATAAATTGCTGTCACAGAGATACTTGATGCCACAACTACAAATCGAAAGCATGTGATCAATGGTAATTGCCTGAGAATTTATAATCTTTATTATCGTCTATAATTTCACTTGTTTTATGCTTAATACTTAAGAGAAATATGTATAAGGGAATGCACAAACTATTATGCACAGTTCCGAGTATAATATTACAGTTTATACATTATTCCAATTTTATTGGTTTAGAAAAATAATTATTTCCGAAAAAAGTTAAGTGACACTGTTCTCCGATTATAGTGAATTATGATTTATAATTATAAACATAACTAAGGAAAAATTGAAAGAACTTTTCTGGAAATGCAGTGTTCTTTTTATATATTGATACAAGTAAGAGACTTGTACGCATCCGCCGCCAGATTCCTAATGTAATAGAATTATATCCGGATATATAAAAGGAAGTGCGACATTCGGGAGGAAAAAAGCAGACTGATTAGACCTTATTATCAACCATATCCACGTTGATCTTGTAATAGACATACGGGAAATAATCACTTTGGCCAAAACCTAATCCTGGTATATCCACGCTCTGTGTAAAATTAAAATGTCATCACATAAATATAAATGTGCTCCATTCAGGAAAAAAATATATACATTTTGTTTGTATATATTTCATATTATATAACAGATATTAAAATTCGATTCTAAAGTAATATTTATTTACAAGAATAAGAATTTAATAAAGTTTCGAAACTGTGATTAAATGTTGATTTCAATAATATAAAACAATAACCATCTTATATAGCTTTACTTACATCTTGATTATGTAGCGCCGTTGTACCGGTAGCGGATGAATCTAAATGAGCATAAAGCTGATTTAGAGCGTCACGTAATCTCCTTGCGCATTTCTTATGCGGGTGCAGTAATATTGCTTGGAAATTGACAGGTAAGCCATATCTACAAATCATTTATATTATAATGTTATTATCCTATAGTATTTGTTTCAATGAAACACATTAATGTACAGTAGTACCTAAGAACAGATTCAACAAATACGCGCAAAGCTTTAACATGAATCCAAGCGCAAAAACATTCACTGAAATTCACTTTTAACCAACGGACAAGCGGTCCGAATTGCTTCTTTTTGTCAGTTACCAACTTTGTAATTTCATTCTTTCCTGTAATAAAATGTAATTAGAATAAATTTTATTCTTTGCAAAACGTATATATCTCTAGAAACGTATTAATCTCTAGAAATGTCTAATATGTGACTTATATTTATTTTTAAATTATTATGTTATTGCATGCAATGTTGTTCCATACAAATCATAAAAGATCTCCTTATAACAAACCTGCTGCTAATTCTTCTTCATTATATGTAAAATCTCGTACAATAAACTTCTTTTCACGAGCATGCAATTTAAACTCGTCCATTACTTTCTTAAATAAAGTGACTGTAAATAATCCGTATTCTGAATCCTGAGTAATGAGCTGTGTACTACGCGGTACAATCATATCTGTCAGTTTTTCATAACAACCGTACCATTCCTGGAAACTGGATCTGAAAATATAAGATACACATAAATGCTAATTCCTCATATAACTCAACAATATGATAATTTTTACATGACTTTAGTATAGTATGGCAAAAAAAAAAGCTGTAAGTGTGTTCACTCACCTCGGTACAATTACAAGCAAAGTAGTTAAATATTCGCTATCCAGAATAAAGTGTTCCTTTTTCACTAAGTCTGCTAAATTTCGTGTTAATAAACTTCCCCTGTCACAGATTAAATATTACATAGTGACATTTACATAATGGTCGATTGTATTCAATTTAAAAACAAATCAAACTTACGTCTGTTTCTTTTCCAAATTTTGTAAGCTGCCTTTCAAATTGTTATATATTGTGGATTTAGTTTTTAGATCAGCATCGATCTGTCCCACTTGTTTACTAATAATATCTGCGATGTTTCTCAGAGATTGTTTGATGGGGTATTTAGCCATGTCCCACTGGAATCGAGTTATATATGATGGCAGATCACCTAGTGAATTTTAAATATTAATCCAATTGTTTTAGACAATAAATAATCTTGATGAACAAGTTTGTAAACAGAGCTTTAGAACATATTTACATATTCTTTAACACATAATCAATAGAGAATGTAGCGAACCTCTACAAGTGCAGTAAATGTAAAATTTTTAACAGATTCAATATTGATATACTTCTCAAGCTCTGCATATATAAATGCTTGTACATGTATCTTTTTTGTTATAATAAATCTACACGTTATCTGAAGTAATGTTATTAAAAGAATAATATTCAAAATGGTGAGATAAAAAAAAAATGATTTCCACACACAAGCAATTTCTTGATTTTACAATGCTGCTTATTCGTCATTACAAAAAAAAAGCAGGACATACACAGAGTATATCATGCAACCCATAATAAACAAATCCATAAACAAACTTTATATTTATTTATATATAAGAAAAAATAAGAAAATATACAATATATATATAAGAAATATATAATTACTTTTTTACAAAAACACAACACAGTTATTTAGTATTATTTATGTAAAATTCTGTACACAATATTTATAACTCAGAAATATAATAAAAAACTTTATTTAAAAGACTTTTAATTAATATATATATATATATATATATATATACATATATATATATATATATATATATATATATATATATATATATATATATGTATAATGCTTTTGTAATCTACATATAACTTTTATATTTGTACATATTTGTACATGCAGATCTTAGCAATGTCTTGAGAAACTGTATTATCTTTTGCATTTATATCGCTATATATCTTATAAATACATTGTAATTATATATGATACAAAAAATTGTACATTAAGGCTCCTGGATGGTCACCGCGGCCATATTGAATTCTCACTATTGAGGCGAGGAAAACACCCAATTTTGTCGTCCGTACCATTTTCAAATAAAGAGACATTTCAATAAAACATCACTATAGATCGTTTCAGAACACTTCCGAAATTGACCGAAAACTACCCTTTTCCCTCGACAATAAACAAACAGCCATAAAACAAAGCCTAAACATACGGGAAAAACAGCCGTTTAACGACTATCGAAAGGAGGTGAAAACGTTACTTCCGCATGCAAATCTTACTTTTCGGTCAATTTTACGATTTTCACGAATACGTTAAACGTTAGAGCACAAGCACAGAGCGAGTAATAAAGAAATAGCAAGGACGACAAAATAGGTTGTCAACATGTCACAAGACAGAATTCTCCATTGGAGAGAGTGAGAGGAGAGAGTGGCGGCGCCACCGTCAACGCAGAGTTCTCGGCTGACCATCCAGGAGCCTTAATCTAGTCAGACAAAACAAACCCTTGTTACGCATGCATATGTACCTGTATGCTCTTATTAATATTACAGAAAATATTAATTATATTTTTTATTCACTTTCGCAATTATCTGCATTATTTTCTTATATATTCGTGAATAGAATGTTTCTGTTTTATATACATGCTCAATGAATACAAATAAATTTTGGAATAACGCGTATATATGCTTTTGTATTAAAAAGAAAAAGATGCTCACGTACATTTGAGAAAAAAAGATGTTAAACATGATAATATCTAAGTCACGAATCTTTTCGAAAATCTACATTACTTAAATCTTTTAACGATAACATATACCTACTAATATACCTTTTTCTGCACGTTTCCTCACAGGTATATATGTAGACTTTTATTACTAACACGCTCTTTAGCCATCACAAATCAATGTGCAATAATGCAATATAATAAAATAAGCGAAGTAGCCAAAATAAAGAAGCGTGATAGGTGAATTAAATAATGCATAAAAAGATAATAGTACATTATTCCATTTTTTCATACGGATATATATGGTTTCTAATAGCTCTTATACTATATAAGAGCTATTAGACAATATAAATTACATACGAGAACTGTGAAGCGCATTTGTTTCTTATTAAATTCTATTCCAATAATCATGCAAAGTAGTATTAGCCATAAACTCACGTACCAATCGATTAAATATTTGTTAATTTCTACTAATGCTATTTGTGCTGAATGTGCTGATCTGTGCTACTATCTACAATATCATTGTTTTGTATATGTATTATCGTCTGTGCTTATAAAATGTGATTTTTTTACTGAAATTATAGTAATTATTAAAATGAGAATTAAAGATCAATATTAGGAGAACAGAAATATAATTCGGGATCAAATAATTAGAGCGGGGTAAAAGTGTGTAAAAGATTTCTAGGTACATTTAATTGTAAGTGTCGAGTGTTACATTTTTCTCGTCTTTTATCCTTTTTGTGCCATTTGCTTTCCCAGATCCATTTCAGTTATATCCTGCATATATACATAAATGATATCAAACATAAATGCTAACAAAATATATATACAATATATATTAGTAACAAAAAGTTGCAATAACTAATAAATAAGAGCAGAAGTGATACACGAAAGCTACAAAAAAAAAGAGCAAAATTAGGAGAAGCTGAATTGTCTGGTGAATAATCAGATAACTAGATATATATAATATGCAAATCGCGATTCACCACAAAATAGGATATTGAGCTATTTACGTTCGCGCGTATAACAGTTGTATAAAATTGCAACATAACTATACATAATTAGTATAAAGGACAGAAGACAAACGAGCCAAAAACACATCAGCGAAATTTCTTGAAAAAAATCAATTGTGAAAAAAAGATATACACACTCATCATAATCGGGATGTGCTACGGAATGATGAATTTTCCCTTTAACAGCTTCCGATTTATTAATCATTAAATGAATACAATCGGAAAACGTCTTTAATTACAATTTCGAAAAGGATGTATTAATTTCAATTTAAATATATCAATTTTCTTAGAAGAGAGATTGTCATATATTTCTTGTTGTTTCCTAACTATTAAAAAATTATGTTTTTCTTATTCTGTTATTTATATAATTAAGATTTATTATGTTTAATAATAATGTTTAAAACAATAATTGTTCTACAATAATACAAAGAGAAAGTAAATTAACAATAAATAATTCTTCCTTATTAAGGAGGTTCTACAGATAATGGATGTATCTAAAAATTGGAAAAAACTTTATGGACGTGTAAATTGAGATGCAAGAAAAGTGCTCGAAAAATTTTAGCATCGGTTTACCGTGTAAAAATTTGCAAAAATGAATTTTGAAATCACAGTTTTTAACATAAACTACATATGGCAGAGGGGCTCTTGGAGACAGGAAACGAGATATTAATTATATAAAAGCGACCCACCAAAGCTCAAAAAACGGAGCTCTTATAGATCTTAATCTAAGCTTTTCAGAAATATCGAGAAAAACAAGGGTTATCGCGTAAAATTTTGTGATATTGGCTATTGAAACAGGCCATATCACAGTTCACGTAGCGTGCTTCGAATAACAAGGGAGATTTGGCAATGTCGCAGCGACTGCACCCGCGCGAAAAGTGTACAGCCAGTACAGCACCACAGTATGACAGCACCTCAAACTTAAGCACCTAACGTTTACGAGCGCTTACGGAGAATACTCGCTCTAGAATTATGTGAAATTGTGAAATAACCGTGGTCATATGAGCAGAACTGTCAAGTTCGCGACGTTACCACATTTTCTTCCATTATAAGCCGCCAGAGTCAAAGGAGCACTTACACGATATTTTTAATTATTCCTCGCTTCGACTAATATGGGTATGATATAAGCTCTAACGTCATCAAAATTCACGAAAATATTTTATGAATACTTAGAACCGATGAATTTGAAGATTTTCTCTTCATCTCTCAACTGACTAGAGAGTATCTGTAGAACCTCCTTAAAATGAGCTTATTAAAATAATTTTACACATATTTTGACAAAAGTTTTACAATAATATTGTAGTCAAAATTATTATTGCATTATATATATAATGCAATATATATAATGCAAAGCTGTAACGTTTAAAGAAATAGAACACTAGAGTGTAAGTATACCTACATTATACTTTACAATGTGATAAAGTTTAGAACTATAATAAATCGTTTCTTTACATCTTTTCTTCTTTATTTTCAAACTTTTTCAAATGTGTTTTTACCCTCCTGTAAATTAACAAGTATCTCTACTCAAGAATTCTGACAATCTCTCTGTTTTTTTAATTTTCCTGCGTTATATTACTTCCCAAGAAAACACGATAATGATTCAGTCGCTAACCACTGAGACACGTAGTGCACGGGACGAACAAAGCTTTGCAGCAATGTATCAAGAGGAGGGAGACAAAAGGAAGGAGGAATGACGGTCTCACATCGACCGGCAGTGGCAGGGTACCTGGATTCGGCAAATTGCCACTATGGTCTTGATCTTGGTCTTGGTCGCTGTTTTGGTCCGCATCGTCATCGTCGTCGTCATCATCATCTCCAACCGATTTGCGGGCAGATCGATCTGGATCTTTCTCAGTGGTGGTCCGCGGACGTAACGGCTGCTGCCACCCAAGCTCTCCTTCGCTGCTACAGTTCGATGAGAGGGAGGAGAGGGTTGGACTCGCGGGAGTGGGACTGGAGCGTGGCGTCGAAGGTACAGAAGCAACGCACCAATGGGCATGGTAGCATGAGTATATCGACGAGACATAGTTGTTGGGCTGAGCTTTGACATCACAGATGCCCTGAAGATCGTACGACAGCTTCTTTTCGAACGCGGAGGAATGATCGTTGTGGTGATGTTTATGGGAACTATGATGATGTTGGTGATGGTGATGATGCTGATGGTCGTGGAAATGATGACGTTGGTGATGATGCTGACCTAAACAGGTGGCCGGCTCTGGTTCGGACTTCTCCAATTCCCTCCACTGTCTGTGATGCTCCATCGTAGTCTTGTGTGATGGTGTAACAGGGGTGTTTGGCGGGGTGTCCGGAGCCCCTTCGGGGCTCGAGCTCTCCCCCTCCATTGATGTTTGACCTATCCATTACAGCCCAGTCCCAATCTCCGCGCGATCTTTCTTATTGTCTTGCTCAACTATTATTGTCTCCTACGCAAACGCCTAACGACAATGCTGACGAAACTGAATGAAAAACAACTCAGGAGAAGAAAATAAGGAGTATTTAGCGCGGATCATCTTACTTTTATCAACCAGAGTGACTAAGTTCAAATTTAATGTCGTTTTTTCAGTGGTAATATCGATTAGTTAAATGGATGCAAATGTTCCAAAATATGTATATAAACACAGTCCGATACAAAAAGTAGCAAAATTTTTTTAAAAAGAGCAAACAATACAACGTTCAATTTAATGTACTGTCTAACGCTTTGAATATTTCTATAGTATTTAAAATTTGGACGACCGATATTTGTAAGAATGTTTGCACTATTCTGTATTCAATGTATATGATTAAAAACTTTTTCTGTTCTTTGAACAGCTGTAATTTTTATTTCTACATATTAATTTGAACGTATTCAAAAAGAAGAATCTAAAATATATAAATTATGATTTATAAAATATAAATTTATCATATTAATTACAGCTTATTAAACGTTAAATACTCCAATATATTGCGAAAACAATAACAAAGTAGAAAAACTAAGCAACAAAAAGAATATTCGAGAGAATATAATAAGTAATAAGTATTGACGAAATATATATACTGGAAAGTAAAGAAATAAGAGTCATTGCGACTCAAAATCATACGGTGCATCGCAAACAGATAGTAATATAAATTATAAAAGGAGGATTGATGATAAGAGAACCAAGGAAAATGAAATTTTATAGTGTATAATCAGAGCTTGGTGACCACAGTAACCCAAGCAATTTCTCGCGTCCTGCGGAAGATTTTATCCGACACGCGTGTGGTCCGTAATTCCAGATCTGTCCATATACTTTTGTTTCGTTTGTCCTTTACATATTATGTTATGGTATTCGTGTCTCTCGAGAAGCATCTTTTTCCTCCTTTACACCTTAATATAGATTCTTGCGTAGTGCATATGTACGAGCAATTATTAATAAAATAATAAGAAGGGTGGGAAAACAGGGTTAATGTGGTCGAAGTTAAACAAAAGTAAGCCAAGCGACATCACAAATTTAGAAATAAGTCTGTAATAGATAATAAACGGAAACAACTAAACACATAAATAAGCATTCTACGAATATATTAACTAGGTACAACTAGGTATTATATATGAAGCATATCATTCGTAGATAATTAATTAATTAATAATGTACTAATTATATAAATATATTAAAGTATATTAAAATATTCACTAAAAAAGTCTAGCATAATTATTTGATATCATAACAAATAATAGAAAAAAAGGTTTGTGAATAAAAGTTATTTTCAAATGATATGCATCATATACATAGATGTTAATACATATATACTACAAGGGAACTTTGTCTGTATCCACCTAATTAAACTATTGAAACATGCAGAAATGTTCTAATATTATGCAACATATCATACGTTTCGTACGTACTATTTGTGTATACAGACAAAATCGTTACAATCTCATTCTATCGAACTACAATATGGGGTATCGTGGGGAGAAACGGGGAGATTATACTTCTCTAAAATTGAACTTATTGTCTCCAACAAATCAAGATAAAATCTGGGTTAATCATAACTGATAGATATCGAGGATCATTGACAAAAAAGGTAACTCGAAATAGTGTGCATGTTTCGTGTTGTGTACAGTTTCATTGGTGCGTTAATTAATCAACAAAATGTATATTACCCTAAGTTAGAGCGTTATAAGAAAATGATGCATAGACAATACGATCGATACCTGTTCGCAAGGGTCCAAAATATTTTTTACCGACAATAAACGCGTAAAGTTATTTCTACAACTAGTCCTTTTGATCGAATCATATAGACACCATGTACAATGCACACTTATCCAAGCGATGTTGAACAATGTGGATTGTAATATTCTATAGATTCGCATCTTCTAGTCTATAACTCTAATAATAATGTATCTGTTCTCTGTTCTCTACCAAAGTAGAAAACGCGAGTTTCAACTACCAGAATAAAAGTTTAACACCTCGCAATATTTAAATAGAATTATGATAAACAGAATTATAATAAACCGCAGTCTTTTACACATTATTAATTAGATCAAGTGTTCCTTAACATTCAAAATAAAGATAAAATTGATTGAATAGATAAACGCGGATAACGGTTTGGACCCTTGATTTAGATAAACAACTTGATCCTCCATCACGTGGATAATATTGTTGAAAGAATGTAAAGGCCCAAGAGATAACAAGGCAACAGGTGTCTCCTCTACTTACTGTTGTTGGCCATCAAGTTCTCGTGCAGCTTGTCCCTCTGGTCCTCCAGAACCTCGCCCAGATACGTCGCCACTTTACGCGTTACTTGTTCTACATATGTGTCAAGCTTGCCCAGGTCGTCCGACAAACCGACTAGCTGGTCCAGCGTTCCGACCTTCAGATCCGGAATATGAAATTTATAGTTCACCGACAGAGAATGTTGTTTGGATGTTAAATTGTTCATAGTCTCCCATGTCTGCTGACAGGTTTTGTCACCCGGCGCGGATATCAGCCAATACTCCGTCATCTTGAGTAGTGTGTTTCGCGACTAAATCTCTAATATACCTGAAACAGCGACGATATCGTGACACCAATTTAATTGAAATTTTTTAAGAGACCTTATCTCTAGATGTAAACAAATTATTAAAAAATTCCTTCTAATTATATGTACGTGTAGCCCAATTAAGTAGTCGTTTTTGTGAAAAATTAAGGTAGGCATGCGTAAGAATATAATATTGAATTATTCAAGAATTGTAGACGTAAAAGATTTTACACATAAAAAACTTGCTTTTGTATCACTCTTAATTTTCCTGCGTTACATGACACTTTACTGTATGCAAAGATAGCTAAAAAGCAGAAGGAATTTTTGAAAGTATATTAAGTATTAAAATACAAGAAAAAAAGATATCAATCTTTAATATCTCCTCCTTTAAGGTATTCCTTTCATGACACTAAAGTCTTAAGAATTAACTAATTTTTTGGTACGAGAGTTAAAATGCATATCTTTACGGCAGAAAAAAATTAAACATTACCGAACATATAAAGATGAATTATGACTTTGAAAATTCGATATTTTATGTGACGTTATCGAAAAAGTCTATTTTCTACATTTCAATGTAATAATTTGTTTATCAAATATTTTAAGATATTAAATATTAACTGCGCTACATATTCGCTAAACTCTATACTTCCGATAGTGTCGATAAAAATACAGTCACCGAATATTTAAACAAAATATTTATGTTAAAAGTTGACTTAAAATGTGGTTTATAGATGAATATTTTTAATGGCAACTTTCAAGAAATTATTTGGCAACGCTGCAAGCTGTGCGCTCATGTCACACTTCAGTTCATCACATACGGTTTATTTGTTTATTATCAACTTTTATTTTTACAAATTGTCCCTTATTTTTGCCCACATTACTCTTCACTTTATGTTTCTTATCACTCATTATTATTATAAAATCTCTCTTTGATAAAAAGAAAATGCCACAATATTCTTTGATTAATGAAATTGACACTTACATTGACAGTTTTGTTATCAACTTCACATTTTACAATCGGCGCCCTAAAAAGCGCAGCGTTGCCATATTGTTCTGACAGTAAAATTTACCGAAAAATGAAAAATTTCTAGATACACATAATATTTTCACTTTTTTCTTATAATTAAACATAATAATCAATTATAACCTGATTTTATATAAGTTTAATGCAATATACAAGAGTTTGCTGAGGCCCTGCTTAAGCGCCTACAAAATACGCTCCTCCGTGAAAGGAATACCTTAATGTTTCACTGAGTGATTGATGTAAGATCAAAGTCGTTATTACACCTTACATTTTCTTAAATATTAGTTATTTTTACATAAAACAATAAAATAGTAACAAATACATATACAAAAACTACAAGTTTATAGGTTTTATTATTTATGAGGAAAAAATTGCCTATTTTCAAGCACTTTTCAGCAAATACCTCCTTAAACGACGAGTACTATATTCAACTCCAACCGACACATTAAATTAGTATATAGTATAGTATAGTATATAGTGTATAGTGGGATCTGTGAAGTTAGCACGACATTCTACAAATTTCAAAAAAATTAT